ATATTTACTGAGAAAAATGGTGACGTGTTCAATACTTATTTTACCCGCTGTGTAAAACTGACTGGTTGAAATAGTGACATTTTTAATGCTGGAGAAAAGGGATTGTTTCGATGGCCATTCTGACACAGTTAAACATTATTGCCTTTTCACCTCCAAGGACCTATTAAGGACCTAAACTGATTGTTGTGGAACTCCTAGAATACTTCATGATGCTAAAAAAATCTATTACAATTTTAACACTGTTCTTTGTTAACTAAAACACAAAAATGACTATAAGTCAGTCAGTTTGACAGATATTGACCTAAAATTTGGTGTGGGATTAGTTGACTGAGCACACTTGCAAGACCAGTGTTTGACATGTTGCTACTAATTATTTACTCTGTTAACAAATCATGTCATGAAATGCTGAGTGGATAATAATGAAACTTTTAGAAAGTAATTATTGAATGGACTTCTACAACCTTTGGACACAAGCAAATTTAAGCTGGCCACCACAGCTAATCAACATTAACCAAGACAAACACATGTTTGTAGCTGAAAGCTTTTCACAACACGTAAATTGAACATGATTTCAAAAGTTCTCCAGGTTGTGGATAACAATATTTTCGAGGTTTGAGCAACCACAACTTCATAATTTCTCAAAATAAGACCATTTTAGTCTAAAACTCTGGCATGAAAGCTGGTGGGCCATATGCATTCCTTGGAGAAATGCAAGGCCTTTCATTTTAAAATAATTTAGACTTGGCAAACGGAAGAGGTTTTGTGTAGAAAAAGGTTTGTGCTGCTGGTGGGGGAAAGCAAATGAGGACAGATTGTTGCTTCTCTCACATCAGCCACCTGCAGAAAAGTAAAAGCTCTGCTTTTGAGGCTGTCTGCTCCATAGTGGCAGACAATGTTGACAGAGCATGAGACTGAGTAAAGGCCAAACAAGGGTCAGGGAAAAGAAGGAGCGCAATATAAGGAGACAAGTGGATTGCAGGAGGAAGCTTTTGTCTTGTTTTACTGAGGGGGTTAATTAAATGTATTATTTTTGTGGTCCTCATCCTCCTGACAAGCTGACTGTTTGGAGCCACTACTTTAAAAGAATAATGATATAACAGTAAATTCTTTTTTTTTCAATGTTTTAATGAGTTGTTGAAATGCTACTTTAATGGTGAGACTGTACCTAAATATAGCAGTACTTTTGAAATGTTCAAAGTGAAAAAAAAATCAAAATTATTAGGAGAAAGGCAGGAATGTTCAATTTCTGTCATATTAATTGTCACTGAAATATTTTACCCAGATTGTTTCACAGTGCTTGAAGAATAGTATTTGCAAAGGTATTTTACTTTTTAGTTGTAATAAATGTGGAATCACTCATTTATACTAACAAATTTATTAGTATATATGTATCATGTTTGGGAGTAAATCCAAACACAAATCCAGAACCAAGACTCAGAGAAACTCAAAGGTAAAATTAAGAAATTATTTTATTAAACACAAAGCAAAAGGCTGAYGAGGCAGCAAAACAATCACAAACAAAAACTACAAAAAGATGTGAAAGAATCAAACATGAATGGCTTACCAAGAACAACACACAGACACTGGACAAACCCATGAGAAGGTGTTTAAAGAAACATTAATGAGTGAGAATGACAATCAGCTGGGGACTCTTGAGAAGCTCAGGTGAGAGAGGGTGGGGCTGGAACTGAACAAYTGAGGATAGAAAATGGATGGCACACAAGAAGGAAATACAACACGGATTATTTTCCATTTTCTTCAACCAGACTCTTTCTCCTTTATATAATCTTTCATGTCTGGTTCCTGGCCTCTTCTCATCACC